TATATGTCTAGGGGTTTTTTGTTAGAGGGTGTGTTTTCCCACATTAGGTTGAAGGGACCAGAAAATACATTTCATTTTTATTTTGCTTTCTTCCCCCTCTGTTGATCTTGGCTTCCCACAGTTTTAAGTACAAGTTATACTCTTCCATTTGGCTTGTATGATTCTACTGTCTTCATCTCATTGTTATAGATGTTGTTCATTTGTTTATCTTGAAAACTCGATAAAATTTGTTTAAAAAAAAACCCTAAGCCTAACCCTAATGTGATTTCTATGGCAAACACTAAGATGGTTCCCGTAAAGAGGTTTGGTAACTGTAACAACAGGTATGAGGGATATTTAATACCCTTCTATCAGTGCAATATACAATATGTTGGCAGAACCGCCAGGAGATTACCAGACAAGGAAAATTATCATTTACAGGATATTACAGAAAATAATTCAACAAATGTCGCCTGGCATTTCAATGAAAGACATCATGGAAAAGATTCCTTATTCAAAACCAGAAAAGGTTTTAGCACATTAGAGAGGAGGGGATGTGTTCTCCAATGATGTAAAAGGGAGGTTGTCATGATGGGCAATAGAATTCCTGAAGGACTTGATGATGACTAGAACATCTTGTATTTCTATTAGTGGCAATGAACTTCTATTCTATGACCAGGATTCTATGAATCTTCTGTGTCAGTGACAGCCAGAGTAACCTATGTTTCTGTGTATATGTGTATCTCTCTCTCTCTCTCTCTCTCTCTTTATGATTGTTTTACATTCATGTTTATGTTTTATTTATAATTTTATATATATATATATTAGATGTGTATTACCACTTTTATAATGTTAAGGTATATACAATGGTATTGAACGTATGGGGTTTATACCGTCTCTTTGTGTAGCGATACATTGTGGGAGGAAGAGTTTTGGGGTGGCTGTTTTCCCACAATGGCGGCTTTGCTCACACATTGCTCTATGATTAAACACAAGTTTGCATGAAATGCACCAGAGATGTTTTTCTGAGATGTTTGCTGGATGCTAATTAATGGAGTAAAGAATTCACACCGACTTTTGGAGTGCCGTAACTTCCCTGTTCTTCAGTATTAGCGGGCGCGTGCACCCAGTGAGCAGAGCTCAGTAAACCCATCTGGAGCAGCACTAATTGTTATCAGGTTCACCCATCACTACTGAACAGCCACCCCTTTGTTTCTGCTAACCTCCTTGATGTGTTTATGGGATTGTATGCTCTTGTATGTTGCCCTATCTTTTGTACAATTCGACTTTCATCTTTTTTCAATAAATATACAAATCAGCTTTCTGTCAGTCCATTGGTACCAAGTCCGGGAATATAAAACAACGACTTACAAATAACGAAGCTCAGCTCTTTTAATTGGATTTTTATTATTTCTCTTATTTTACTTTTCAAGCACCAAGACATGAAGTTCTTCCATACTGTCTGCCGGACTTCCATGATTCAGGACTGATTTCTGAGATGATGAAATAAAACGGACAATGTACCATATGTGAAAATATGTGTCATACATGTACCAGGTACCAGGTGATTATACAGACAGTGCTCATACAATCTGATACCTCTGGACAGTAGTCTGGATTGTGAACTGGATCGTTCTTTATTATTTAGTCTGTTTGTTGCTCTGGTTACAGAGATCTTATCTTATAATGATTTTCATGCCCATCTTGGAGTCCGCAGATGGCCAGCAATCCATGGACAGGTACCAAAGGGACATGCATTGTTCCTGCTGGTCTGGAATGTAGATGAGGGGTGAAAATGGTGGATGGATGTGAAGATCGACTTGACGTCGAATGTTCCAGAGTTGGCAGTAGGGCAGAGAGGTGGTGAGGGCAGGTGGTGAGGTGGACAATTTATGTAACACATGAGAGAAGTTTTTTTTCTAGCAATGTTGGTGCCATCAATCAGGCATATTTCATCCAACAGATCCCTCTGGTCATTGAGAATTCCAGCGCCCCATTTGTGGTTTCTGGTGGAACGATGAATACCGATAACCAAATTCTGTTGATTTGCGCACAAGTTCTTTGTTCTTGTAACAAGGGAAATATGGTGTGGCGCATTCATTCGGGCCTTGACCCAACCTATTGTTCTCAGGGTAGGAATCTGGAGATTTGTTGTACTTCAATATCCACGATTCAAAGATCCTGTGCCAAAGACATTATTATTGTAATACCAGATATCATCTAAAAGCCAATAAAATCCCTAACTTTCAATCAGAAATATATCCGAGACCGGCTGAAGCTACAAAGGTGATTTCTGCCAGTGGAGAAGAGCGATCTACAGTTAGGAAGCCACAACTGGGTTAGGGTTACCCCCAATTCAATTCTGGCCCTAACCCTCAAGAAAATAATTATCAGCAAAATATTTCAATAAGCAGTGAAAGGTGATCAATCAATCAAAGCCCTAAAGGACAAACCAACCTAAAGAGAGTCTAGTAGATGAAATAGTGACAGTGACTGTGATAGTGATGAATACAGATGAAGATCATTGGAATCTGCTGCTGGTAGTGGTGGGTCAATCTTGCAGCTAAAGTTTATTGAAAGTACTATAGTTGATCATATCAGAGCCTGGACATTCCTACTACTTACTTATCGATGAAGCTGTGATGTAAGATGAAGATCGGGTCATTACTGGAGATCGGAATCTGAGACATGGTGCCTCCTAGATAAATGTGGACCAGGTTGTGTAAACTTCTTCGTATTGTCACCCCATCTGGTGCCAAAAACCCTGCAGAAAATGGACGGAACATATCTAAGTATGCAACATATTGTGAGGACATTAGAGAGACATCAATTGAAGCCTGGAAATAGCAATGAAGACATGTATATACACTGCAAAGCATTTCCATATTTTTATTTTCAATTATGAAAAATATCTAAATGAAGGAACTTACACTTAGGGACTTGTGTGAGCCAGTAAATCAGATGGTCTACAAAGGAACTATATGGTTACCATTCATCCCCGTTATGAGGGGTATGTTCCAGGCAAACATGCATCCCTGGCATGACCCCGGTGGTCCCATTGCAGCATCATTCATACCCAACACCTGGATGGTAGTGTTGAACAACCAATAAAGTTTGTTCACATAGGACAAAAATGTTTACCTTAAACCACACCTTCTTCATCAGGATTGGGTGATTTGTGCATGCGGGAAATTATTTTGTTTTTTAGTTAATATAATTTTATCTCAAAATACATATAGCAAATATAACACACATACATACATTCATACATTCTTGGGGGAAGGGGGGGAAAGGAAGTCCAAATGCTAATTACTTAATCCCCCATATGTGCGTTGCGTGAATATTTCTGTTTATTCCTCTATCTCTTAAATTTGAGTACTATATTCTTCATAATTTTTTACCCCACCACCCATAATATATGAGTGTATTTCCTACTTCTATGTGTTCCCCTTAAAATATACATATCAACCTATAGGTAGTAGAGTGTGAATCCCCCTCCTATAATAAGAACCATAGTTCCATTTAATCTTCCATGTTGTGTACTAATCCAACTATGTTTTTTAACTACTTGTGATCATCTATGTGACGTGTTACCCTTTAATACCACCTAGAATTCTCATTTCTAGGCCCTGTGAAGGTGCCTCCTACCCCCTTTCTACTTTTAAATAAATATGTTTATTCAGCATTCGGACTTCCCTTTTCCCATTATTCTATCCTCCGTCCTCCCCTTACTCCCATACATGTAGGTCAAATGCATTTATAATTCATTATAAACAGTAAAACCAAATTTTGTTTAATAGATTAACCGTTCGCCTTATTGGTCATTATATTTCCACAGGCATCATAGAGATTTTATTATTAAGCTCCTGAATACTTCAGACTTTCTATAAGACTCCCATTCCTCCCATATATACTTATGTTTGTCAATGTTACCATTATCTTTTGCAATTAATTCCTCCATATATCTTATTTCTTCCATCGTGGTCTCCCACTTCTCAAGTGAGGGAGGAATCCTTGATTTCCAGCCCCGTGATATGTTGACTCTTGCTGCGGCCAATGCGTATCTAAGAATATCTATCTTTATCTTTTTTATAGGACCAGGGATCAAGGATAGTAATGCAGTTGTGGGGTTATTCTCCAGATTTAATTTACCTATAGATCTATAGACTTCAAATATTGATTCCCAAAAGGTATAAACTTTAGGGCAACTCCACCAGATGTGCAGGTATGTTCCCTCCTTACATCTCCAACATCTGTCTGACTCACCCGGATTTATGTGTTTAATTCCTTCTGGGCATCTATACCATCTCGAGAGTATTTTATAATTTGTTTCCTGATAGAATGAGGATTTGAC